ACTGCTGCTTCCACGAGTGTTGATAGTTGATCCAAGAAGAATGAAGTCCTTGACAACTTCAATCTTTTCTCCGTTGATAAGAATGTTGTTTATTGGTCCAATGGTGAGGATTTTTGTTTTCTTTATATTGAGATGTAATCCATACCGAAAGCTGTGCTCTTTGATCTTCATCAGTAAATGTTTTAAGTCCTCTTCACTTTCAGCAAGCAAGGTTGTACCATCTGCATATGGCAGGTTGTTAATGAGTCTTCCTCCAATCCTGATGACATGTTTTTCTTCATATAACCCAGCTTCTTGGATTATTTGCTCAGCATACAGGTTGAATAAGTATGGTGAGAAAATACAACCTTGTCACGCACCTTTCCTAATTTTAAACCATTCATTGAGTTATACTGTTAGAGGAGAATATTGACAGTGTCATGGGCTGTCAAAAGAACCAACAGATCCATTTTGGAAGAAGTGCAGCCAGAGAGCTCCTTAGAGGCCTAGATGGCCAAACTTCACCTCTCATATTTCGGACATATTGTCAGGAGGGACTAGTTGCTGGAGAAGGATATCGTGTTTGGTAAGGTGGAGGGTCAGAGAAAAAGAGGAAGACCCCCAACGAGATGGATTGACCAAGTGGCAGCATCGATGGACTCATGTGAGGAACAGTAGTGAGGTTGGCCCAGGATTGGGCAGTGTTCCGTTCTGCTATGAGTAAGTACTGACTTGATGGCACCTAACAACAACAACAATTGGTATCTATTGTGGCGCCATAGGATAAGCACTTGGTTTGAACTGCAAGGTCAGTGGTGTAAACTCACCAGCAGCTCCTTGGAAATCCTATCCAGCCAGCGTTAGTCTGTCTTCACAGGGTCACTATAAGTGGGAACTGACTAGAAGGCACCTTAGAACAGCAACAACACTGGTATGAAAATCAGTCCACAATGCATTGTTACATTAAAAACACCTGCTTGCAAAACAGCATGTTTGAATTCCATTTTTGTTTAAAAGGTTAAATTCAGGAAAGGTATATACTCTAATAGGTGTCTTAGTTCGAGATCGAGGCATTAGATCATGTTGACTTCTATATTATTTTTTTAAATGTCTTCTTTGGTTGTCTTGATTTTATTGTGAAAATCTATCACCTCTATTTCAATCTCCTTCCCATAAAACATTTCCATTTGGAAAAAAGTAAGACCAGAAATAGTTTAAATTTTATTCAGAGACAGAACATAAAAATAATATTTTAGTGATAATTACAGAAATATTTGTACATTTGTACATTGCAATTTTGTCATGAGATAATATAAAATGTACAATAGATTTTAAATACATTTCATTTGGTTATAAAACAAACATTAAATTTAATGGCAGTAGTTACGTTTGATACATAGAAAAATCTTTTTAAGTTAGCAATAAAATCCAAACTTAAGTATTACACCTCCTCCTCACTTAGTATCTTGCTATGTGACGTTTTATACTTAAAGCAACAGTAAGAACTCTACTCTCTATTTTGTGCATTAGTGAAGTGTGTCTGGCAGTACAAATGCCACCGTGTGAGGTGAGAGTAATGCTGTCCGTGACAGTTAAGGCTACGTGTCAACTTGGTGGGGTCATAATTTTCAGTGGTTTAGCAGTTATGTAATGATGTAATTCAGCAGTTAAATAATGATGTAATTCGATGGTTATGTAATGATATAAGTCGACAGTTATGTAATGATGTAATTTGGCAGTTAAGTGATGATGTAATTCAGCAGTTAAGTAATGATGTAACTCAGCAGTTAAGTAGTGATGCAACTTGGCAGTTATGTAATGCCGTAATTTGGCAGTTATGTAATGATGTAATTCGGTGGTTATGTAATGATGTAGTCATTTTCTATGTTTTTGTAGCCTGATGTGGTCCATCTCCATGTTGGATTAATGCTGATTTTTGCATCACAAACTGGTCTGGAACCTTACTATGTTGATCAGTGAGGAGGTGGGGATAGTGTAATACTTTTATATATAAATTACTTAATAATGTTTATCTTACAGGGACAAAAAAAGAGAAGATTGCTGAGCAATCCGTTATTTTAGCACACTGTGAAATTCCAAACGTTAAGCACCAAACTGATAAGAAATGACTCAACTTTAGAGTCATTGGTGCCTTGAAAACAATGTGTACAAGCCATATTTTAATGTTGAGTCTTAGAAGTGTGGCTGAGCAACCGTTAGTGTGACTTCACTGGAATTTAAGATTTTGGCATAGTTTTGTCTTCCTCGGAAGTCGAACACTAATAAGAAGGCAAGGGAGGATGGAGACCTGTGGACACGTGGGAGCCAGTTATTTGGCATTAGCACCTGGCAAAGGCTTTTCATTATTAGTTTGTCACAAAGATGTGTGATTTTAGACTTTAGAGAGAGGCAAGAATGCAGCAATGACAGCCAACTTTGCAGTGGCTTCTTGGATGTTTTCTTAGAGCAGCTTTTCTCAAACTTAGCATTCCTAAGAATTCCCTAGAGGGCTAATACAGATTGCTAGGCCCCTGCCCTGAGTTTCTGATTCAGTATATCTCTAAGGGGCTTGAGAATTTGCACTGGTAACAGTTTCCCAAACGATGCAGATGCTATTGGTCCAGGGAGCACACTTTGAGATCTCCTGGTTTGTGCACACCAACAAACCCTGTATATCATGAAAACACAATTGTTGTTAAGTGCTGTCAAGTCGGTTCTGACTCATAGCAACCCTGTAGAGCATTTTCCGAGGAGCAATTGGTGAGTTTGGACCACTGACCTTGCTGTTCAAACCGACCTTGCAATCCAGTGCTTACAAATAGAAAAAGGGCATTTTTAGAACCCCAAAGTATTAATATTAGGTGAAGCTAAGTCAAATTTAAGTGAAACACTGCCCTTTGAGTTAAATGTGAAACTCACGTAAGCAGTGAAGAATGATGACCAGGGTCCCCCCACCTGTGCTGGAATTTGGGGCCATATGTATTTTTACTTTCCAAGTGAAGCCAGGACCTGAATGTAAATAATAGCACCACAAACTCCATCCATGTGGATCAAGAGTTCTTCTCAGAACACTGTCCCATGATGCCCGGCCCCCGGGACTCCTCAACTCACGCTATCATCTAGTATAGATGGTTTTTAAGGTTTTGTTGATCTCTGTTTTCTCAACATTGTGTAGAGGTTGGCTTCTACAATTCCTAAGAGAAGTTAGAAATTGTGAGTCATCCCAAGGCATAGATCTTATTTTTAAACCTTAAATTGGGTTTATAAACGATGATGATAAAAATAATGAATGTTAACAAATAAAGAAGAAGGGGGGGGGGAAATGCAACTCATATCTGAGATTCTTAAGGTGAGAAAACAATTTACTACATTTTCAGGGATATGAAATCAGAAACAAGTGTCTCTCTCTCCTGTTTTTTTTTCTCTCCCTTCCTTGTTAACCCTATAATTTAGCATAGCACCTGGGAGAAGAATTGGTACTGAATAAAACACTTGTTAAATTGAATGAATTAGCAGAAACTAAACTTGGGCAGAAGGAGCTCTGGTGGTATAGTGGGTTACCACAAGGTCAGCAGTTTGAATCCACCAGCTGTTCCAAGGGAGGAAGATGAGGTATTTTGCTCCTATAAAGACCAACAGCCTTGGAAACCTTATACAGGGTTGCTATGAGTTGCTGCTGACGGAACACCACACAACCATGACCAACCTTGGACAGTGTTTTGTTCTGTTGTGCACGGGGTCGCTAGGAATCAGAACTGACTCAATGGCATGTAACAACAACAACAACAACAACAAGCTTGGAAATGTGCAACACACCTAAAAGCAAGTATGAAGGCATGCAGCTAGCTGCCAAATCATACAGTTTTTCACATTCAGACTTTCATACAGTTGACTCTTTCAATGGAGCTTGTAAGCATACATACCATTAAAGGAAAACATGTTTTAGGAAGGAAAATGTCCAGGAAGAAGAAGAAAATAAATTAGTAAATACATGGAAGGTACATGGGGGATTTATAGCAAAGAGGCACTATTTAGAGGCTGGCAAATCAACAAATGCCTTTAGTTCATCGGGAGATTGCTAAACTACTCTGTTCTATCAGGTAAGTACAAACAGTTATAGAAACAGAGGTGGGTAGATGGATAAAAGAGAGGTGGAAGTTAGGTACAAGCCTGAGTATGTTTGTACAAACATCCTATTACAGTGAAGTTAAGTATAAACATTGTATCTAGTCTCAGTGTTGTTGTTGTTAAGAGCCATCAAGTCAAGTCGGTTCCCATAACTGCTGACCTTGTGGTTTGCAGTCCAGTGCTGACCCACAGCGCCATACCAGCTGCAGTGAAGGGAATTCAATAAACAACCAAAGAACCTTCAAAGCAAAACCATACAGGATTTCCAAGGCTACTATGGTTCCGTTCAGAAACTTCCTTTTGGTTTCCATCTTGGATATGTTTGGAAACAAGCCTCAGAAATTTTACAAATCTCAGAAATTCTACAAATTTCAACTCTGTGTTTCCTCAAACACTTAAGTTCTATTCAGGCTGTTGTGGTACCACGTCACTTGTTCCCACCGACTTCTCTCTTAGGGGCTAAAGTTCCTGGAAGGGCAGGGATGATCTCAAACTGACTTAGCCTCTCTGGTTCCTAACCACTAGAATGGAAGAAGACAGATGTTGGGGATCTAGTAGAGCAAATAGCTATTAACATGTAGCACCCACACATTATACATTCTAGGTAGTGTGTTGGCTGGAAATGGAATACAATTTCAGTGGATTTATTTTGTGGACAAAGTGTTGCCTCACCCCAGGAGGCTCCCAAACAGCACCAATTAGAGAGTTTACAATCACAGTACTTGGAGAGAAACACTATGTTGGGCGGAGAAACAAATGGAAACTTTGTACAAAACAACCACAGAGGGCTAGCTATCCTCTGATTCCAGCATTCCTAAATAAATGCATGTTCTGTGGCATTACTTGATCATTTAGGATGAATAAAAGAAACAGTTTAGCTTTCTGTATTGTCTTCAATGTCTTGTCTTCATGCACACCTGGCATCGGCTTATTATCTTCTCTAACTCCCCAGCCTTCACCGTTGATGGAATAGGTTTTCTGAAGTAACAGAAAGTCTTGTTTATTTATGGATATAAAGAGAAAATTTGTTGAGTCTTAATTTTATTTATGAATATTGTAGCTCATCTAAAATGTATGGCAGGAAAGAAATGGATTCCAGAAACATCTTTCTGAAAAGGTATACATGCTGCTGTTGTTAATTGCTGTTGAATCAGTTATGATTCATTGTAACCCTGTATAGGGCTTCTGACGCTTTAAAAACCTTTCCAAGAGCAGAAAGCCCCATCGTTCTTCCACTGACTGGCTGATGGACTTGAACCGCTGACCTTGTGGTTCACAGTCCAGTACTTAGCATGTGCAGCCACTGTAGTCACCAAAAGGCATACATAGCAATGTTTCATCATTTTATTTAGATGCCAGCAGCACTATGGAGACACAGTCCTTGAAGCAAAAGTATTCATCATCCTTTTTTTCTTTTTAAATAAAAATGATTCCCATCCTTTAAGTAGTCTATATTATTCACAATCCTGCAGTACACTCAGTCAAGATGAGACCACTTTGTGATTTTTATTCTGCAACTTACTATCGAACCCATTTGCAAATATTAAATATGTGTGTTGATGATAAAGATATATATTTTGCCTCTGTGTATTTCTGAGCACAGTAATACGTTACCCTGGCTACCTGCTGGTAAGCAGGAAGTGCCAAATTCAACAGTTTCATAGGTGTAGAGGGATTTCAGTGTGAGCTCTGGTAGCGTAGTGGTTACGAATCGGGCTGTGAACCTCAAGGTCAGCAGATTGACACTACCAGCTGTTCCGCGGGAGAAAGATGAGGCTTCCTGCTCCCGTAAAGATTTATAGCCTTGGAAACCCTGTACAGGGTCTCTCTGAGTCGGAACCGACTCCTCGGCACATGACAACAACAACAACAACATAGGAATTTCAGTGTGAGTACTGGTATGGCGCTGTAGGATAGGCACTGGACCACAAGGTTGATTCGAACTGAAAGGTTGGTGGTTCGATTCCACCAGCTGCTCCTTGGAAACCCTCCACAGGGTCACTATGAGTCAGAACAACTCAACAGCACAGCTCCCAGCACACCAAGACAGAGGTAAAGCAAAACTACCCGCGCTCGAATAGTTTAACTCTGATAGTTACCTGAACATTCTCTCTGGGTTTAAAGAAGCCAGCCAGAAACTGTAGGAATTTGAATAGAAGCTACAGGTTCCTCTTCCATGACATTCTATAAAGGGACTGGCTCGGAATTCTTCCAGGCAGGAGCCAGGGGAGGCCAGTGCTTGTCCAGCACCCTCCGAACCTGCACTTCTGAACTATGATAATAAAGATGAAAGAATTAAAACAGCGTCCATTGCAGTTCAGAGATTCAATGCTTGAATTCTTTCTTTTTTGTAATATGAGAAAAGAAAAGCAGAAAGCATTAAACTTCATGTATGCGGCAAATCTCTATTTATAATGAAACAATTTCTTGTACTTTCTTTACACAGGCTTGCTAAGACTTTATTTCTTAGGTGGTATACATAGTTTGCACTCCTAACCTGGTGTGGCGCTGTAGGATAAGCCAACCTCAACGTCACTGCTTCAAACTTACCATATAAGGGGTCACCGTGAGTTGGAATTGACTTGATGGGACTTAACAACAGCAAGTAACCTAAAGGTTGGTGGTTTATACCCACCCCCTGGCACTGCATAAGACATATCTGGTGCTCTACATCCATAAAGATGAAACCAAGACCAAAACCTCGCTGCCACTGAGTTGGTTCAAACTCATAGCAACCTTCTAGAACAGAGTAGAAGTGCTCCCTTGGCTTTCCAAGGCTGTCAGTTTTATGAAGTGACTTTCAGTTAGCAGCCTGACATTTAGCCCACATACAGTACCTCCAGGGCTCCTTATGTATAAGCTCAAAGCCCTGGGTTGGAATCCTAGCTTTGCCATTTAATAGTGGTGGCATGCTGGAGAAAGGACTTAATATCAGTTTTCTTCTTTGCAAAATGTGCCGTCGAGTCAGTTCTAGCTCATAGTGACCCTGGAGAGGGTATCTGAGGTTTCCGAGGCTGTAAACCTTTACGGCAACAGAAAGTCTCATCTTTCTCCCGGGGAGCGACTGGTTCACAGTCCAGTGTTTATCCTACAGAGCCACTATGCTCCCCTTATAAAAGTGTTGTTGTTGTTGTTGTTGTCAAGTGTTGTCAAATTGATTCTAACCCACAGCAACCCTGTGTAGGGTTTCCAAGGAGCAGCTGGTGAGCTTGAACCGCCGACCTTGCAGTTCAAACGGCTTTGTAGTCTGGCGTATTAACCCACAGCACCACACTGGGATGATAGTAATTAGCTGGCAGGGTTATCATAAAGATTAACAGAGAATGTAGCTGCCACAGAAAAAATAAGCCTTCCATTACCAGTAATTAAGGAGCTCTGGTAGCGTAGTGGTTACGAATCGGGCTGCGAACCTCAAGGTCAGCAGTTCGAAACTACCAGCCGTTCCACGGGAGAAAGATGAGGCTTTCTGCTCCCGTAAAGATTTATAGCCTTGGAAACCCTGTGCAGGATCACTGTGAGTCAGAACGGACTCCACAGTACTCAACAACAACAACAACAACTATATGCTGCAGGTTAATGCGCTGGACGGCAAGGTTGGTTTGAATTGCAAGGTTGGCGGTTCAAGCTCACCAGATGCTCCTCTGAAACCCTATACAGGGTCGCTAGGGTCATAACTGACTCGGCGACACTTAGCAACAATAACATTCATCCATACCAAAACTCAAACCCATTGCCATCATTTTGATGCCTACTCACAGCTACCCTGTTTAGAGTTTCTAAGACTGTAAATCCTTACAGCCTTGTCTTTCTCCCACAGAGCAGCTGGTGAGTTTGAACCATCAACCTTGTGTTTAGCAGCCCAATGCCTAACCCACAGTACCAACAATGCTCCTTACTACTCACCTGTCTTTATTTAGAATTTGGGTGGTAATTTCATTTTGAGAAGTTGATTGTTTTTAAAATGCTCCACTATTTACCCCGCAAATTAACTTACTTAAGTAAAAAAAAAAAAAAAATAGAAAAGTGTATTTGTAGCTTTCCAAGTCACTCTCCATGGCCTGGTGATTCAGTGGGCTAAGTGATTCAGTGGGCTAACTCTCCATGGCCTGGTGATTCAGTCTGCTCTCTGCAAGGTTGGGATTCTAAATGCACCCACTGCTCCAAGGAAGAAAGCTACAGCTGTCTGCTTCCCTAAAGACGTACAGTGTGGACATGAGTTACAATCAACTTGATGGCAGTAGGTTTTGGGTTTGACCCATGGCCTGTTGCATACCATCCCTAGGGACCACATTTTATCCTGTCTTAGATCCGATCCTGATGTAGTGCTGTAGAATAAGCACTGGACTGCTAACCGCAAGGTCAGTGCTTCAAACTCACCAGCAGCATCTCAGAAACCCTATACAAGGTCATTATGAGTGGTAACCCCCTGGACGGCACAATAACACCAACATAAGATCCAGCGGGGCGTCTGCAGTTCCTTTGCCCCTTACCATTATAAAAGAAAATCCTTTCCAGAGAGGAATCCAGCCCGCGGGACACGGGGGAATGTCGGTGGTCTGGCTGTGAATGGCTATGGTGACCGCAGGCCCTTCGCAGACAGTGCATCTGGAACAAGGCACAAAAAGACCAGGGTGGTATGACCACTCTTGGCACCATGGAGAGTCGCTCACATTCTAATCCAAGCCAAGCAACTCACCTAGTCCCTTCCCAAAAGAAACCCTGGAGTCTTACCTGCTGATGTAAGGCTCTAGGGCCCTGCCAGTGATTGGAGCCATGTCCTCCGGCATCAGGGCTGGCGTTGACAGCCAGTATGAATAGTCGTTTCGAGACGCAAAATTGCACACATTGTGGATGTTACAGAATAAGAACGGCATGGTGGTAAAGCGCTGCAGGCAGCTGCCCAGAGTTCCTGATAAAACAGCAGCATGGGGCTCACTTTTAGGAATGAAATGATTTTGAGAATCATTATGAGACAGATGCTAATTAAAACACGACCTATGGCAACGATAACACAAGACACTTATTTCCAAATGCGGCATTGAAAACTTTCAAGAATGACAGAAATCAAAGATCCAGTGGGCAAACACATCTCCCTTTTCCCCACCCTTACTAGTTACTGTGGACCTTTCTAATCAGTCTAGAATAGGGGTCAGCTTAGGGAGCCCTCATGACACAGCAATTAAGTGCTTGGCTGCTAACTGAGAACAGATGCTCTTCAGGAGAAAGATGTCACAGTCTGCTTCCTTAAAGACTTACAGCCTTGGAAACCCAAAGGGCAGGTCCACTCTGTCCTGTAGGGTCACTCTGGGCTGGAATCAGCTTCACAACAATGGGTTTTTCTAGGTTGACTGGGGAAACAGTCCGGAGGAAACAGTCACTGGAGAAGGCTGTCATGCTGGGTAAGATGGAGGGTCAGAGAAAAAGAGGAAGACCCCTAACGAGATGGATCAGCCAGGTGGCATCATTGATGGGGTCAAGTGTGGAAGCGGTAGTGAGGTTGGCCCAGGATTGGACATTGTTTCGTTCTGTGCATGGGGTCGCTATGAGTCGGTTCCAACTCGATGGCACCTGACAACACAACAACACAACAGGCTGACTGGGACAGTGTTTTTGCTTCAAACTATGGGGTCGCTGTGAGTTGGAATTGACTTGAAAACATCAACAGAATTACCAGGTATTCACATGTAGCTAACAGCTAATGACCTGATGGTAGTGGTGGTGGTGTGCCTTGGAGTCGGTTCCGACTCCCAGCAACCCTGTCAATCTTTACAGGAGCAGAAAGCCTCATCTTTCTGCTGGTAGTTTCGAACTGCTGACCTTGAGGGTAGCAGCCTGACTTGCAGCCACCACACTACCAGATAGTTGTGGTTGTTGTTAAGTGCCGTGGAGTCGGTTCCGACTCATAGTGACCCTGTACAGGGTTTCCGAGGCTGTAAATCTTTATGGGAGCAGAAAGCCTCATCTTTCTCCCGCGGGACGGCTGGTAGTTTCGAACTGCTGACCTTGAGGTTCGCAGCCCGATTCGTAACCACTACGCTACCAGAGCTCCTTTACGCTACCAGATAGAGCTTTAGAAATGACATTTCTCTTAGGATTGAAAAAGCAGACAGGTGGTTGAACTGAAAGCTGTACTGGATAAAACAGATTAGATGGATATTCACATATCTTCATATTCCAGAATGGAAATCAGACATCAGGCCAAACCCCCAAGAAAAACTCCACTGCTACCAGTTGGTTCTGACCCATAGCAACCCTATAGGACAGAGGAGAGCTGTTCCTTTGGGTTTTGGTATTTATAGGGACAGCCTTATCTTGCTCTGTGGCACAACTGGTGGGTTTGAACCACTGACTTTGCAGTTAGCAGCCCAACACATAGTGCATTGTTCACAGGTTAGGACCCCGGGGCCCTGGGCCTCTCTTACCCTGGCTTCATATTCACCCTTTTGCCTGAGTCCTCTCCTACTAGACAGGGATCAAGAAAGGGCGGAGGACATCTCTAGTCCAACAAGAATAGTAACATTGAGAGGAATGGCTTGGAGACAGAGATAAGGGAATTAGGACCGGGAACCCACAGAGAGAATCAGCTGGTCACAGGCAGACAACCAAGAAGACAGCGCTCAGAGGTGCCAACTGCAGAAGGCTCTCCATTTCTAAGAAGCCTGCTCCCCTTTACTAAAACTCAATGAATATTCAACAGATCGCTCCTCCTTCTAATCAATATGTATTAATCCAGTCTTGGAGAAGGAGACCTCATACCTTTATACGCCAATGTATCCCAAGCCCACAGGATCTTCTCCACTTGGGGAAACAGGCCTGCTTCTCTCTCTACTTGATCTATGCTTCCCAAGTGTACTAGGTGTTGTTCACCACTTGCAGAAACAGATGCACTTTGCAATAAAGAGCTTCTGAGTGAATACTTATTGTTTGTATGTGACTGAGAAGCGGTGACTCAGTGGGACTAATTTGTTAGCCGCCCCCCCCGCCCCCCCAGGGCGAGAAGGTCCAGGGAAAAATGTGACACCCCCAGGGTTCTGACATTAAGCCAGAGAGAAAGAAAATTACATTAAGCCAGTGTTGTTTTATTTCTCTCTTTACCAAGTGCTGTTAACATAGTCAAGGCGATTTCTACTTTACTTCAGGCTAGAAAAAGAACAATCTGCATATGGAACAAAATGAAATCTAGAACAGGGAAATTACCAAGGTCTTGTCCATGGGCGTGCTCATTTCCTTGTACGAAAAGGAAAGAAAAACCACTGTAGAGTGGCTCTGTCCCTTCTGGACACGAAGGGACAGCTGTTGTTTGGCTGTGTCGAGTGAAGATAAAGCCTCTCATTGCTGTTCTAGTTGCAGGCGATCCAACGTCTCCCTGTCTCCCCTTTAAACCTGGCGCCCCATCGGATCCAGGTGGTCCTGTAAAAAGCACATAATAAATGCAGCACCCAGGAGTCTCACATCTTTAACATTGTCAAAGCTGTCCCCTTGCCCAAAGTCCTCATGTAACTGAAATGTTTATGTACATCTCTGAAGTTTCAAATATAGAGAGCAGTTCTTAAGCAGTGACTGACTAAACATATAAACAATATGATTAAATCTTCACATACTTATCTCACAAGACATAGAATCATAGGTATCTGTGTGTATCTTAATATCATGAGCGACTGAAACAGACTCAGACCTTCTTTACATTTGTGTCCCCCTGTCATGCCTCCTACTTTGCTCTGCACCTGGTCTTAGAACCATCGCTTATGAATACATCAATGTGTCCTCTCAAACAAAATCAGACAACTGCAGTTTGAAACTCTATGATTAAAAAGCAACAATAACCGAAAAAACACACTAAGAAACACAGTTGCCAAGGACTCGATTCCAAACTCACAGAATTCTAACTGTGCTCCAAAAGGTTTTCAAGGGCTATGATTTTTTTTGGATGTAAAACACCAGGTCGTTCTTTCAAGGCACCTCTAGGTGGATTCTAACTGCCAGCTTGTAGGCTAGTAGCTGAAAGCTTAACCAGTTTTGCCACCCAGGGACTCCTAAACTCTATGATTGTTGTTAAGTTGGTTCTGACTCACAGCAACCCTGGATAGGGTTTCTGAGGAGCAGCTGGTGAGTTTGAACCGCTGACCCTATGTTTCAAATCGACCTTTCGTTTCAGTGCTCATCCTACAGCACCACACCAGGAGTCTATGATAGTGGATAATGAAAACATTACTTAGAGTTTCGATAAACTCAAGAAACAATCAAAAAAATTCTTCTCAAAGGTGCCAATTTCAAGATAGTTTCTGATCAATTAGAAAGGTACCTAAACACAGAAAAGGCAATTGTCATTGTAGTTTCTTCTACTTTCACGACATAAAATGAAGCACGTGGTTTTCATAGTCAGTGTTTTTTTGTGTTGTTGTATAATAAGCTAATAGACATCTGTCCCTTTCTATATATGGACCAGTGAGCTCCCCCTACTCCCCTTCCTCCTGTTCCCCTCTTCTTTCTTTTTCAATCAAATAGTTCTTGCTTTTGATATTGGTATTGTTCACCACCATCACCCTATCCTTTTCTGCCACCACCGCCCCCTCATCCCCACCCCAACCCAATGTGGCCCATGGTCCCTAAGAAAAAACAGGAAAGACCGATGTGTGGATTTGGGGCCCACAGTGTCAAGGGCAATGCCACACTTGCTGGCCACGAACAACCATGCCGTGGGACTCAGGCCGTGCCCCAGTTTAGTCCTGACTCAAAAGTCAGGATTCTCAACAAGGGGTTTTAAAAAAATCCCAACATTATCAGCTTTTTCGGTCTCCTGAAATTCAGGATAAGGTGCACCTGCCCCAAGCCATGGTATTTTCCATTGCTTCATAAGCATATGAAAGCTGGACAATGAATAAGGAAGGCAAAAGAAGAATCGATACATTTGAATTATGGTGTTGGTGAAGAATATTGAAAGTACTATGGACTGCCCAAAGAAAGACCAAATCTGTCTCAGAAGAAGTACAGCCAGAATGCTCCTTAGAAGCCAGAATGATGAGACTGCATCTCTCACACTTTGGATATGTTGTCAGGAGGGATCAGTCCCTGGAGAAGGACATCATGCTTGGTTAAGTGGAGGGTCAGTGAAGACGAGGAAGACCCTCAAAGAGATAGACAGACACAGTGACAGCGACAATGGACTCAAACCTCACAATGAGTATGAGGGTGTCAGGTTGGCACAGGACTGGGCAGGATGGTGTTCCATTGTGCTTGGGGTCACTATGAGTCTGGGCACACTCCATAGCACCTCACAACAACAACAACTCACCATTTGCACACAGTCCAAAGTATGGTTTACTATGTAAATCGGTGAATTCCCAACTAATGAATATACTTAATTTAGTTTCATAATGAGCATCTTGTAGATACTTCATTTTACATTTTTTTCAGTTGTTTTCTTAAGATAACATCCTAGAAGGAAATCTGAAGAATCAAAGGATTCTACAAAACACAGGGCTGAGGGGTGTTTCATTCATTCATACATGGGGCCACTGTGGACCAACTCAATGGCACCGAATAGTAACAGCAGTATTTGAATTCCACCCAGTCACATTGTTTCCCCACTGAACAACTGGTTTTGACTTTGAGCATGCTTTGAATAGCACCGACTGGAACATGAAGATGCCCCTTGTTTCCATAAACACCAATAAGACTAGTCTGATCTCAGAGCAACACTGCTTCAGAGAGGAGACCAAGCCAGGTGTTTACCTTTTTCTCCTTTAGAACCTTTGTGGCCCTCTTCTCCAGCGGGTCCTGGAGTTCCAGGTTTTCCATCCTTGCCTGGCTCACCTGGTGGCCCGCAGGGTCCTAGGTAAAAGCCAACAAGATGTGGAATTATTCAGACAGGATGAATGTGAGGGTGGCCAATCATCCCAGTTCACCTGAGACTTCAGCACTTTCAGCAATGGAAATCCTGGGAAACTCCTCAGTTCAGGGCAAACTGGGATGGATGGTCACCCAGCTTATGAACTCCACTTCCCAGTTAAAACATGAACTGTGACTATATGAATAAACCAAGACCCACTTCCTCCAAGTCAGTCCTGACTCCGAGTGACTGTAGAGGACAGAGCAGAACTGCATAGGGCATCCCAGGCTGTAAATCTTCATGAAAGCAGAATGTCACATTTTTCTCCTGAGAGGCAAAACTGCTGACTTCTTGGTCAACAGTTCAGTGCTTACCATTGCATCATCAGGGCTAAATAGTTTAAAATTGTACTGCTGTTTTGGTTTACGCATTTCCAGCATTCACTCCCTTCACGTACTTAGTGATAAAGGCAGTAAGGAATAGCTCTCTTATCTCTCAGTTGATTTAGGCAAACCTACAGACTATTAGTTTCATTTAGAAGTCTACTACAATATGATACATTTCTAAAACAGGGTGAGTTTCGTTCCCAAACACGAGTGTTTTGAAAAGATTTCCTAACAGTAAATATGCATTTGTATCTGCTGCTCTTCCTTATGCGATATCAAGTGCCTGGAAATCATAAATTGGAAGAATTCAACCTTACTCATACAATCCTTTACAAATAGCTGGTACTCCAAGACTATAATTGTGAGGGGCAATGGACATAATACTAATAACTTAATAAAAAAATACAGAGCCTTAAGCTGTTTATATGTACTCAAGTTAATGCTATATGCATCTGTTTTCAAGAGATTTCAAGGCCTGTTATTTGCTGATGAAGGGCAAAATGAATGCACAGCTAAGATGGATTATGAGAATGCATTCATGTTGAACATTTTCTGTGAAGTTGCATCATTTGCTTGCAGGGCACTTTACAGGTATATTGGGCCCACCGTTTCCTAAAAGTTCAACTCCATGCTCTCAGTTCCACACCTGGGTTTCCTGGTGGCCCTGGTGATCCAGGTTCTCCTTGCATCCCTGGTCCTCCAGGTTGGCCAGGAGGTCCTGGGCTTCCTGGAAGGGAGATGATCGTAAGCATGCCAGGGTCTCCACGTTTACCTATCAACAGAAACATGAGACCAAGAGGATGGTTTCATTGAGGGGTTACCGTATCTCCATGGGCCGGGACCGCCTCACTGCCCTCATCCATTTACGTCAAGTTGATTCCGACTCATAGCAGACGTAAAGAAGAGTGTTTACCAGGTGGTCCTGGAGGTCCAGTTGGTCCTGGAGGTCCAATTGGTCCCAGAAATCCTGGATTGCCCTTCTCTCCTTGAAAAAAAAAGTGATTCTGCTTAGAAAACTGGGTTTCTTAGATCTTCAGGTTGACTCAAGACTCTAAGGGCAGATCTTGGAAGTTAGGATTGAATGTTGCATTGCGCCAATGGCTACAACTCAGTTATGTTCATGTGGGTCTGGAATGTCATTCAGACCCAATCAGTCTATAAAGAAATCCACATAAACAAAGAATGTAGGCATTAGGAACTTGTAGTTTCGTTTTGAAGGGAAATGGTTTTCCTAAGAATTAGCTTTTTTTTGAGTTCATAAACAATTCAATTTAGAAATTAAGATAAAATAAGAAGTCACATTAAGACTTATTTTCGTGCTCTCATGTTGAATGATGTAGCTTGGTGATCACAGCTATCTACGCATCAGTCTTATAAATGCCAGTAGCCCACGGTCGGGGATTTCTCTTCTCAGTACTCAAAGAGTAAGTACAAAATAGCTGCCTTGATGTAAACAGAACCAAGTGTAAGCTTTATCTCCCAGCCACAGACTTTGACACGAACAAAAGAAGGCTACCAAGAGGCACTGATAAGGAGAAATGCTATTTTAAAGAACCTTAAAATAGTATAGACAATATCTCTGAATCCTTACACTTCATTACTAAGTATTCAATGAAAAGAACAAATATCATTAATTAACTATAGAATCAAAAGTGAACTGGCAATTAAATGGTAAATTAGCCAGTTGATATCAAAACTTGAGAAAAATGTGATTATTTACTTAGAAACATCAGAAGTAACCTAAAGGTTTATTCCTTTGGGGATTAAATTTTTGCAAATACTGGAGTGCAAATTCATTGGTCATGCCAGCCGAGGGTCTTCTGAGAGCTATGAGGAACTGAATATATTATTCAGCATCTCTAGAGTCTGTGATGGAGTCCTGGTGTGGCACTGTGGGATAAAGCACTCACCACAAAGTCAGTTTGAATCACAAGATCGGTGGTTCAAACTCACCAGCCACTCCTTGGAAACCCTATACAAGATTGCTATGAGTTAGAACCAACTCGAAGGCACTTAACACCAATAAGAACAGAGTCTGTGATAATAGATATCTGCCACACAGAGACAATACCGGAGGAACTACAGCTAAGACAATGACCTCAGATTACTTAAATCTTGATTTGATGTCACAGCACACAAATGAAGAGTCTGAGAATCATTTCCCTGACATGGAAGTTGAAATTTATGTTTGGGAATACTTTAAACTTAAAAACACAAAAGTTACAGGTTTTTTTTTCTTGATAAAAAAGATGAGGGAGTTTCAAAACTTTGTGGAAAAATGGAATTAAAGATCATGGATTTTTTTCATAAAAATTTAAAGCTCCCTTGAATGATAAATGTGCCCCATAATGCAAGTGCATTATGCATTATGCAAATGCAAATGCAGAAATATGAGGGAGACTTCAAAAAGTTTGTGGGGAAAAATGGAATGAAAAGATAATGGAATCTTTTCCACAGACTTTTTTTTTGTGAAGTGAGGTTTGCAGATAGAATAATCAGCTTTACACTCAGCAAGCCATACATTTATTTCATCTCAATGACTGTATTCTGCTCCATGTAACTACAACTAGCCCACTCCCTCCCTGTGGTTTCCATTTCCATACCATCCAGCTACCCATCCCTTCCAACTCTGCCCTGAGGCAAACATTATCCCCTTGATCTTGAATGAACAACCATTCCAAGATGAGCATACCTTACTAGTATTGTTATTCCTCCTATAGACCTATCAACTGCTTGGTTGAAACCTTTTTGAAGCCCACTCATGTATATATAAAACTTGACTCATTCTACCCCACTAACAGCTTGGGGTATTTTCTTTTAGAGATTTCTAGTTTTCAAAACTATCTCAAGTAGCACAAGCTCCAAGTAAACAAAATAAAAAAGGGCTCGGAACAGTCGTGACACTATGGGTCGGAACTGACTCCACAGCAGTAAACAACAGTAACAGTGCTATTTACAGAGTCTTGGTGTGGGACTGTAAGATAAACACTGGACTGCTAATTACAAGGTTGGTGGTTCAAACACACCAACTACTCCTTGGAAACCCTGTACAGGGTCATTATGGGTCATAACTGACTCAATGGTACCTACCAACAACACTGCTTTTTGCACCTAGACAGCAGTGTGCAGAGACAATACCTGGCATGCCGGGAAATCCACGGAGCCCTGGATCACCTCTGAGCCCTGGGAGACCGGGGATGCCTGGTGGTCCCTAGATTTCAACAAAAGGGAGCAGAACCACAGTTGAATTAGAAACAAAAGAAAACAAAAGTTGACCTTATTCACTGATGCTTTCTTGAAAGCAAGAAGGACAATGTTCTGCACCGAGTGAGTGTGAGCTCCTTGACAACCACCATTTTCAGCATTTTTACCTTTCTTCTCATGACTCCCTGCCTAGACCCCTCTCCCACAGATATCGCTCTAGGATGATTGTTTTCAATAACAGATTTTTAAAAAGTGTCATTAATGCTAGAAAAAAACTTGTTTGTAAATGTCAATGTATGTTTGTTTTAGTATTTCAGACATTATTTTGCATTCAAGAACTGTTCTAACTAAGCCAGCAAAGTTATGACCACCTCGTCGTCGTCAAGGTGTTCTTGAGGGCTGCAAATGGTTAACACACTCAACTGCTGACAGAAAGGTTGGAAGCCTAGGTCCATCCAGAGGCACCTTGGAAGAAATGCCTGGTGATCTACTTCCAAAAATCAGCTATTGAAGACCCTACAGAGCACACTGCTATTGTGATACACGTAGGATGACCACGAATTGGAGTCTAGTCAACAGCAGTATGTTAGTCAGCGTGGTAAGAGACGTGCCCACGGCTGGCAATGTGTAGGGCTGTCAGAGAGAATGTTTGACAGGAGGGTTCAACAAGGATGGCCACAGAGGTACTCCCTCCTGAGCTCATACAAGTTGCTCTCACGTCCATGAAATGCTGACATCAGGCCACAGGAAGGAAGAGGAGGGGCACAGAGCTTCCAAGAGAGCTAGCTATTCAAATATATATTGCATTTATTCTTACACCACCCATCTATCATCTGTCTGTCAGTCTGTCATACTGTGTGGCTTGCATGTTTCTAGGATGCTGGAAGCCATGCCATTGGCATTTTAAATGGCAGCAGGCTTACCAGGGTGGATAGGTTTCAGTGAAACTTCCACACTAAGAAGAAAAATTTGGTAATCTACTTGCAAATATTAGCCAATGAACACCTTATTGACTACAACACATTGTCTAACTTGCTTGTTTTGGATACATCATCAAAAAGGATCAAATTAAAAAGAAACACCAAACAAAACAAAGAGGATCAAGGGCAAGAGAGACCCCGGGTGAGATGGATGGGTGCAATACTGACAGTGAGGGACTCAGACATGCCAGTAACTGTGAGGGCGATGCAGGACCAGGTAACATTTGGCTCTGTTGCATATAAGGTCATCACGAGTCGTCCACTCAAAGGCAACTAGCTATCACCTCTATGTATGGATGTAGGTATGTATCTATCTATGTATGTATCTATGTAACTATCTATCTACGTATGTATGTATGTATGTATGTATGTATCTGTCTATGTATCTATGTATCTGTCTGTCTACCTACATATCTGTCTGTCTGTCTGTCTATCTATGTATCTATCCATCCTGCCCATATGAATTGAAAGAGAATTCAATTACTTGACAATAATGAACTAAACATCATAAAAATGCCAAGAATAATACAAGTGGTCTTTGAAGCTGCCTAGAGCAAGAAGACCAAAGAAGAAGATAAAGTGAGATGAAAAATTGAGGGAGAGGAAACCAAATGATCTGACGAAGAACTCTGGGGGCATCTGTGTTCTGGTCTGACCTCCTGAGATGAAGGTGTCCAGGGAGGGAGGCCTGGTCCCAAGGCTGAGCCCTTGGGTGGGAAGGTGTTCCTTGCAATGATGGGGCTGTGAAGGGCATGGAAACAATGTAGACATTCATCACAAAGAGTTATCTTTCGGCTTCAAAGACAGAGGCCTACCGCCATGAGATCATTGGAGGGTTTCAGTGAGTTCAAGTCTGCATAAGATATCAGTGTAGAAGGACATTAAATGTAACCACAGGATCAATGCTGGGAACGTTCAAAGAATCATGGAGAATGTATGAGAGACCTATGGACTAGAGGAGAGCCAATACCTACATTTTTTTTGGAAAAAAGAAAACAAGGTAACTTCTGGAGACCAAATATCAGAGATGTTGACAATCAGACATACTAGCAAGTATTCTTTGGGTCTCTGAACCTGCTGGGCTCTGCTTTTCCTTAGGCACAGTGCTCAGAAGCACCACAAATGGCCACTCGGTGCCACCTACAGGAATAGCTATCTGATCCTGGCAACCCATCTGCAAGAGTTTAAGAGTCAAAATAATTTCCTGCACTTACCGGATGTCCTGGTGGCCCTGCGTCTCCCCTGGTGCCAGGTGGACCTCTGGGACCAGGCTTGCCCATAAAGCCTTTGTCTCCTTTTACACCTTCTATGAGACTTCCTGGAGGTCCAGGTGGACCTGGTTCACCTAAATTCAGAGAATCCATTAGTATTGCCAGTTAGGGAGTTCAGCAAGTCCTACTGGTGAGCATGAACCTTGCTCCCCAAACATCCTCTCCCTCACGGAGTGACATGGGATGAGAGTGAGACAGTGCCAATGAAGTACCTGGCTCAAGGTTGGAACTGCTCTCTCTGTTGGGAGTGTTTTAGAGCAGAACCTGTGACCACATCCCCAATGACCTGCCAGCTCCCTGCCACACAGCCGGACTTCAGTAAAGATGGATTAAATGGGTATAGCGCTCTCTTTCAGCCTTGTTAATTGAATATTTACTAATAATTTCTTGGACTTCTGGTGTGGTGCTGTGGATCAGCACCTGACTGTGAACCACAGGCCAACAGTTCAAACCCACAAGCTGCTCTTCAGAAACCCTATACATGGCCTCGATGAGTCAGAATCGACTGGTTGGCAGTTAACAACAAGTATTTCTTGGACTTCTGGTGTGGTGCTGTATGATCACCACTGGACTGTGAATCACAAGGTCATCAGCTGCTCCTCTGAAACTCTATACAGAGCCGCCATGAGTCAGAACTGACTCGATGGCACTTAACAACAACAATCTTTTCTGAAAATTTTTTATTGTCGTTGGGTGACGGTTTACAGAGCACATCAGCTTTCCATTCAACAACTGACACACGTTTTGTTTCCTGCCATTGATGGCGATCCCACAATATGACATCGCTCATTCCACTTCCTTCCTGGGTTTCTTGTTTTCATTCCTTCTTCCTGCTTACCCATTCTGAATGCTATCCTTGGGTAAATGCTGTCCTTTTGATCTCAGAAGGTTGATGACTCTGAGGTATGTGTACTAGGCCAGGGCTGGCTCCCCTTGTAGACCTGTCTGCTGTCTGGCTGCAGACTGAGCTCTGGGGGTGAGCTCGGTTATAGTCCTGAGGGACGATTACGGATCAGTGTCAGGGGTCCCATCAGTCTCTATCTTTAAAGGTAGTTTGGTCTTTTAAAAAATAATTTTGAGTTTTGTTCCACATTTTTCCCTCACTCTATCCGGAATCTTCTAATCTTCTGACCCTTTCAGAGCAGTTGGTAGCAGTAGCTGGGCATTGTCTAGTTCTTCTGGTGTTAGGGTTCTGATCCATTTGTCCACTGGACTAATTGTTTCCTTGCACCTTTGATTTTCTTCACTTTGTTTTGCTCCGGATAGGAAGAGAGCAACAGTTGCATCTTCCATGGCTACTTACAAGCTTTTAAGACTTAACTTGCTATTCACCAAAGTAAGATGGAGAACCTGGTCTTTATAGACTACATCATGTGAATTGACCTGGGTGTTCTCCTAGACTCAGATCCAGAGCCCACAGGCCCAGTGATCATTCCCTCAAAAAGTTTTCATGTTATCTATTAATCTTTTAAAACTTCTGCCTCAGCAATACCAACAACTTAACAGCATCTACATCCATGAGAACATGTTGGGGGACTGGAGACCAGAGAGAGAAAGGAGCAATGAGATTACACGAAGGGAAAACGGAAAGCTTCTGATGTGCAACCTTATTTTTGCTCATTTATCATATTTAAAAGTCAGTCCTCTACCTGGGATTCCTCTTGAGCCTGGTGGACCCTGATTTCCTTTTTGGCCAGGGATGATTGCACCTGGAACCCCGGGTGGTCCTGGGAGACCTCTCATGCCAACAGGTCCTTGCGGTCCAACGTCTCCCACTGTCCCTTTCCTGCCAGGAAAGCCAGGCAAGCCTGGGGCTCCCCGGTCTCCTTTGGCTCCTATAAAAAAGAAGATTTGTTAAGTTTCCATATTGCCCCTTGATTCGAAGTCATAGCATGTGGTTACCTTTAATGACATAGATACTCTGCTTAAATGGGTTGAGGTTCAAAGTATCCTTTAAAAAAAGAGGCTGAGGAGTGAAGCACTAACCTCGCTATTTGATCTTGGCAAAGTCACTTCCATACCACAAGTCTCGGTTTTCTTATTTATAAACAGATATAGTAGCTGTCTGTGGGTGGATTTGAACCTCCAACCTTTCAGTTAGCAGCTGAACACATTAGCCATCAGCACCTCCCGGGGGTTCACAATTTTGAGCTACTTGGTCAAGAGGAAGATCAAAAGCATTGGACTAATTGCTGGTTCTGGACAAGCACCAATGGCTGAGGTCTTTGTTGGGTGTGGGCCTCTTTGTTAATGTTCCTGTCCAAAGGACTCCAGGCTGAGAAGGACCCCAGTGAGGACTGGGCAGTGTTTCATTCTGTTGTGCACAGTGATGCTATGGATTGGAAGGAACTTGATGGCACCTAACAACTAACATGGTGTTAATGAGGTCGGAGACAATCTACAGGATTAGGCTGCATATGAGTCAATCTCCTTGGAGATATAAAAGAGATCAAACACGTGAACAGAGATCAGAGGGACCTACTACCACCAAGAAAGAAGAGCCAGAGCAAAGCATGTTCTTTGAACCCAGGGTTCCTATGCTGAGAACCTCCACAACATAAGGGGAGACTGATGCCAAGACACATCGTGCTCTCCAAGGGATGTCAGAGCCCACTGAGAGAGAAAGCCTCGCTTCAGAGTTTCGGCTGAATTTGGCTTCTAGCCTCCTAAACTGTGAGAGACTAAATTTCTGTTTGTTAAAGTCCTCCACCTGTGGCACTTCCGTTACAGCAACACGAGAAAACAGACAGGCCGGCAGGGCTGCTCCTCAAGAAGTCGTCAATCCCATCTCCCTGCTTTTGGGAGGTGACAGATTTAAAACGCACTAACAACAACAGAATCAAGAGAATCCTTTCCACTTTTAAAGACTCTCATAGAAGACAATTCCAAACTGAATTAAAGTTTCTAATTTGTTGAATTTGTTGCGATGGTCATAAATAAGCATTTAAGATTGAATACTAGGAAAATACCCATTGTATGTATTGCCATTGGGATTCTCTAATTTACTCTGTGAAGTCTATTTTAGATGTTAAGAATATTAAACTAGTTTCTAGCATACCCTGCCCTTGAAAATGCACGTCACTGGGTTCAGGGAAGACAAACTAACCTTGAACGCCAGGGTTTCCTTTGGGGCCCAGAATTGCCTCCAGCAAGCCTGAAAGAGAAAATTTTGGCATATTAACATTTATGGTAATTTTATCTTATATGAGGGGGTTTCAAAAGTTCATGTAAAAATTCTATTATCTTTTATCTCCATTTTTCCATGAACCTTTTGAAGCTCCCTTGTACATAGAATGCATCTGTTTGCATTTCCTTCTGAAAATAGATAGAAGTCTTAACTATCATATCCCAAGAAGTTGTTCAACATCATCATTTCTCCCAGAGAAGAATTGTTAGAGAAGTTAAAGGTTATCAAGGCACCAGTCATTCTACTCAAAAGAAAACTAGCGGATCAACGATGATGAGAAAGGTGTACCTGAGTCTCCTTTTTCTCCAGCTGGACCAGGAATTCCATCACGCCCTTGACTACCTCTTGTACCCATTGGTCCTGGAGGCCCGGGGAATCCTGGAGGGCCTTTAAAAAATAAAACATGGAGTTCAAAGATAGGGATTCTTTCCTACCAAATGGTCTACGGTGAAAACCAAAGAGATGAATGGAATTTACTTAAAGGTGCTATTTTTTCAGAACTATAGTTACCTGATTGGACTGGGCCCCTGAGTGGTGAAAGTGGTTTACAGTTGGCTACTAATCGAAGGGTTGGTAAGCCCTACAGAAGAAAGCCCTGACAATCTGCTACCAGAAAGATTAAAGCCAAGAAAACTCTATGGAGCTGTTCTATTCTGTTACACATTGGGTTGCCATGATTCGTGATCAACTTGATTTCGGTTTGTTTGTTTTGTAGTTACATGAAACCATGTCTACAGAGAAAACGATCAATGGTTGATGTGATCATAAGGGTATTGTTTTGGAAAGCTTAGGTGGGCAGATATTCAAATTGGGGAAATACAGATATGTAACCTGGTTTGTGTACATTCTCCCCTCCACCACACATTGGGCCCTGAGTGAATGGGAACAGCCTTAGACCAGTTGTAGCTCAGCATGATTGGATCCTGAGATCCCAATTTCAGGAGAACATATGCATCCTTTAAGAAAAGAAAATAGAGAAAGTACAAAAATGAAACCTGGGGGGCCTTTTACTCCTGGGTATCCAGGGAGGCCTTTGATGCCTTGAAACCCGAAATCACCTTGAGAACCTGGCTTTCCTATAATTGAGGAAGGGGTAGGGGGAAGACAAGAAAAAAAAGAGATGAAATTAGCACAATGATTAATATGGTCAGTTTCTACAGCTAACTCTGCTCAAAGAGGAAACCAAGATCGATGCAGTGGTTAAAACACTAGGTTGCTAACCAGTGGTTTGAGCCCACTCTGTGAGAGAAAGATGTAGTCTGATCCTGTACCATTTACAGGCATACCTCAGCAATTCCAGACCACTGCAAAAAAGCCAAGTTCACAGTAAAGCAAGTCACACTAGATATTTGCTTTCCCAATGCCTGGTGTGGCCCTGAAGTATAAGTACTGGACTCTTAATCACAAGGTCAGCTGTATAAACCCATGAGTCACTCCTTGGAAGCCTTAAACAGCGTGCTAGGAGTTGGAACCAATTTGACGTTATTTAACAACAACAACAGTGCATATAAAAGTTATGTCTACATGATACTTTTGCTGCTGCTCTGTTAGGTGCTATCGAGTCAGTTCCAGGTCATAGTGACCCTATGAACAACAGAATGAAACACTGCCTGGTCCTCCACCACCCTCACAATTTCTAGGTTTGAGTTCCTTGTTGGTACCACTGTGCCATACATGACATTGTTGTGTACATCGAGTCAGCTCCGACCCATAGCGACCCTGTATAGGGTTTCCGAGAAGCAGCTGGTGAGCTTGAACCACCGACCTTGCAGTTCAAATGACTTTGCAGTCTGACTCATTAGCCCACAGCACCACACCAGGACTCCATACATTACATTATAGTCTATTAAATGTGCAGGAGCATTGTGAAAAAGTTTGAGATATTGTGAGAAGGACCAAAACATGCTACAGAGACATGAGGGGGCTCATGCTGTTGGAACAATGGTGCCGACACTTACGCGATGCAGAGTAACCACAAATCTCCAATTTGTAAACAATGCGGTTATGTGGCTGCACAGCCTTGGAGACCCGATGGGGCAGGAGAACAGGGGGGCTGGGTACTAAGGAAGTACCCTTGCTCACCGGCTATTTCTCCAGAGACCATAGCAGAGACATGTCAGCTCATTTCCCCGCTATGTGTACAGACCAGAAGGCTGGCTGGGTATCTGGCCTACTGTTTCCATTGGGAATATGAAAGTACAGCTATATGAAATGTGCAATCGTTGAAAAGATACTTTACCGTCTTTCAGTGAATACGTGAAATGGTAACCTAGTTGCAGAGCAATTGTTTCCACAAAACAAAATTAACCCTTAAACCCAAATTATAAATTGATAAGAAAGAAAGTAAATCTCAACCCTGAAACAGGGCAGGAAAGAAGGTTCAGAACAGCATTGTCAGCTTTTAAAGAGAACTTTGCAGGGATGCAATGTTAGTGGGGATCAATACAGTTCCTTCCTTCATGTAACTTCAGAGAACAGAGGGGTGGGGGTTGTTACTGTTGTTAAGTGACTTCGAGTCAATTCCAACCCATAGGACCCTGCATAGGGTTTCCAAGGAGAAGCTGGTGAGCTTGAAGCACCAACGTTGCAGTTCAAACGACTTTGCAGTCTGACGCATTAACCCACAGCACCACACCAGGGCTCCTGTTGCAGGTTGTGGTTGTTGTTGCTATGTGCCGTGGAGTCGGTTCCAACTCACAGTCACCCCACACAGGGTTTCTGAGATTGTAAATCTTTAAGGGACCAGAAAGCCTCATTTTTCTCCCACAGAACAGCTGGTAGTTTTGAAATGCTGACCCTGAGGTTAACAGCCCAATTTGTAACCACTACGCTACTAGAGCTCCTTCCTGTGTTGGAGGTAGCAACTATTAATTCATCACACGTGTATATTTACAAAGGATTACGTGATGGTTAACTGGGGTAAGAAAGAAACGATTAGATCAAATGGGTAGGCGTGTCATGTTGTTATTGTTGGATGCCATCGAGTGGGTTCTGACACAGTGAACCTGTATAGAGCTTCCAAGAAGTGGTTGGTCAGTTTACTAATGAATTGTGACTTTACATTGATTTTTCTGAAGCAGTTAAGAAATTTTGGTGTGAGAATAGTTTTTGGTATTTTATTCCACCAGATTGGCTGATCAATAAAATTAGGTTCCTCCTGATTAATTCACTGTTTTTCAGAGTCTTACAAGTTGAAGATCAAAGATGAATAAAAGCAATTTTAGTCCTGAAGCATAAATAGCTTGCCATTTCCTGAGATGTTTATGGTGGTGGGTATGTAACATGGAGTCAGTTCTGACTCATAGAGACTCTGTACAGGTTTTCCAAGGCTGTGAGTCTTTATGGGAGCAAAAAGCTTCATTCTTTTCCCATGGAATAGCTGGTAGTTTTGAACTGCTGAACTTGCAGTTCACAGCCCGATTTGTAACTACTACGCTACCAGAGCTCCTTACGGTGGTGGTGGTGGTTATGTGCCGTGGAGTCGGTTCCGACTCATAGCGACCCTGTACAGGGTTTCCAAGGCTGTAAATCTTTACAGGAGCAGAACGCCTCATCTTTCTCCTGAAAAATGCTTGCAGCTTTCAGAATGGTCAAGCCAGAGCTCACCTGGGAGGCCAAGACTTCCAGGATGTCCAGGGAAACCCTCTGGTCCAGGAGGTCCCGCAGGTCCAGGTGGGCCAGGTGACCCTCTTTCTCCTTTCTTTCCAATGTCACCTGGCAAGCCTGGATCCCCCTTGAATTCAAACAAACACCTTTACAATTCTTCTCTGAAGAGCTATGTAATCATAATTCAGTGTAATGAGTTGTGCTCATCCACCACTCTTAGCAAGTGTCAGCCATGAGTCTGCATAGCGCTCTCGCTGAGAACAAGACTGGCTCATGGCTTGCAGGGTCCCATGTAAAATGTACAATGAAAATGCAGGGCCCCTGGTTAACATTAAAAAAAAAAAGAATTTGAATTTCCAGATGGCAACAGCAGAACAGTAAACCAACCATGGAGCCCTTTAAGCCCAAATCCTGTCTGAGTACACACATGAAGCCCACTCTTGTGGGAGGACAGTTGTAACCAAGACGTTATACCATCCCTGTCTTCCTCAGCGGCATCCCTGGCGGGGCAAACGGTTAACACTTGCTGCTCAAAAAAGAATCGTAGGTTCTAGTCCACTCAGAGGCACCAGGGAAGAAAGATCTGGCAATCGCCATCTGAAAAATCAGCCACTGAAAACTTTATCGAGCACAGTTCTACTCGTGACACACATGGGATCAGTGCATGTGGGTGGTTGGTGCTGGCCTTTGTGGAGCTTTACAGACCAGTGTGGGGATAGATATCAAATCATCACACACATGTATAATTGCAGATTGTGAAGGCCAACTGAGGGTAAGAAAGAAATAGTTACACCATTTGTGTATGTGTTCCCCAAATACTATGCATGTAGACACCTGTGTGTCCATTATGCGTTTTTCTTCTAAAAAAAATAGCCCTTTCCATGTACTAAATCGGCACTTCAGTTTTAGGGTAGGTCAGAGCCTACACATTTCATGGTGATATCATGAAACACCCATAACATAAACACTGTAGTTAAATGAGGTCGAGTCTGTGCTAACTCAGGGCAACCACAAACTGTAAATATTTCCAGGATCATAGAGCCTCATCTTTCTCCCACGGAGCAGCTGGTGGGCTTGGACCACTAACCTCGAGGTTCGAAGTCCAGTGCTTATAAATGCACTACTCTGTTAAAATTACGACAAGCTGCTATCATGAGAACTCCAGCTCATTTTGTGTTCATTGAACATTTCTACAATTTCTTTTGGTGGTAGCCTCTGGGTGATTGGAATCTAGAGAAAACTAGTAACAACTGAACACACAAAAGCCCAACATGATTCCTCATCCAGAGAAGACTTCAGTGGAAAACACGTCCCCTGGGTTTTTCTGGAGACCAAATCTAGAAATAGAGGGCAAAGGAATTTGTGTGACATGAAGTAAAACATTGCTTTCTTGGGTCTGTGTGTCTCTGCACCTTTTTCTTTCTTGTTTTTGCAATTACTGTTGGAGAACATGGCTGGTAGAAATCTAGAAAAGCTGCTATTTTATTGGCTCAAAAAGGGTCAGTCACTAATAATAAATTTCTATCTATTATTCTCTAGTAGACTAGCTCTGGGAGCACTGGTGGTACAGTGGATAAAGTGCTTGACTGTTAACCAAAAAGGTCAGTGATCTGAACCTTCCAGCTGCTCCACAAGAGACAGATGTGGCAGTCTGCTTCCCGAAATATTGGTGGTGGTGGTGGTGGTGGTGGTGGTTATGTGCCCTGGAGTCGGTTCCGGCTCATAGAGACCCTGTACAGGGTTTCCGAGGCTGTAATCACTATGGGAGTAGAAAGCCTCATCTTTTTCCCATGGAACTGCTGCTAGTTTTGAACTGCTGACCTCAAGGTTCACAACCTGATTCGTAACCACTACGTTATCAGAGCTCCTTAAATATCACAGCTCTGAAAACCTTATGGAGCCGTTCTTCTCTGTCCCATAGGGTCAACATGAGTTGGAACTGACTCCATGCAGTGGGTCTGGTGTTTGGTTACATTAGATCTGCCTCTTACTCTAAGTACTGAAATGATAGAAGAAAGTTGAAAGGAGATGATGTGGAGCCAATTGTGACTCAACGTGACGCTTAGAACAGAGTAGAACTGTCCCACAGGGCCTTCAAGGCTGTCTGTCTCTACGGAAGCAGATTGCCATGGCTTTTGTCCAGGGAGCAGCTGGTGAGTTCAAGTTCATGGATACCCACAGCACCACCAGAACTTCTTGTTAGAAGGAGAGAACTATAGAAAAACAACAACAACCAACTGAGTACTGCTATGGCTGCTTCTCGGTACAATTCTCTTCTAAAGGCGTTGAGAACTTCTAACAGCACGGCAGTGAGAACATTAACACCAGGTAAAGACTTCTGTGTAATGGACTGAAAATACACAGGGTTCTAAAACTACTACGAAAGATGAATGCACATCTCTTCGGATTTTGTTTGCGCTGGAGAGATGCACTCAAGTGGTTTTTAGTTTATATCTTTTATTATGTCATTATGAGGTATCTATTTTTGATGACAAGAGTTGGAAATGTATTTTTCAAAGTCTGTGAGAAGTGAGCCTAGAGTAGCGGTGAGTCGGTTTGTATCTTAAGAGCAAACAACTTCCTCTCAGCCTGGCCACAGTTAAAAGCACTTCCTTGAAGTGGGGGTAGGGTGGGTAGAGTCAGCTAAGAATTCTGGGATAGCCAGGTACCCTCAGTTGTGGATCTAGGATGAAACATTTCCAAATGACTTCCGGAATGTACAGCAATAGTTTCCATTTCCTCTGCTCACACAGAATCTGAATACCCACTGAGATTTCGAGGGGTATAGTCCTTCATCAAAACCTGAACATTTCAGTGGCTTATACCTGTGGTCCCTGTGGTCCTGGCCTTGCACCTTCTGAATAACCTGGATCTCCCTTGTCTCCTTGGAGACCAGGAAGGCCTGGGAGGCCTGGTCTTCCAGCTAGACCTGGGAATCCCAGACTTCCTCTCTTCCCTTTGGAACCTGAAATTGGGGGAGAAATGAGGTTAAAATCGCTAAACACAGGGATCTTGAAACTGGTCTATTTCTGAGCTTTGCACAAGGCACCCCTTTGTGATTTATAATAAATTTGTACAGAGTCACAAACACATCCAGACAATTTAAACCCAGTGTAAGTATTTATTCTGTTTTCAATCATGTTGTAGTCAATGCATTTGTCTAAAAGCAAATCAAACTGTTTAGTAGACTTTCTACCAAGTGGAAAATGGAAACAAACAAGACAACAAACAAAACAAAAATGTAACAAATGAACAACATGGAAAATTGAGAACTATGATCTATCATGAGCTTATCAACTCGTAAGAAGACCTTATGCATCACCTGGTATTCCCGTGTCCCCCATGCTTCCTGGCATACCACGTGGTCCTGGTTCTCCAGGAATCCCAGTGTTGCCTGGGTCACCTCTGGGGCCTTGAGAAACAAACAAATAAACATATAAATTGTCCAGATCCTGGATACAGTTGGTGCTCAATATTTGCTGCTTGCATAATAAAAGAACACAAAGCAAGCCTATCAGCTTGTTTAGGAACTTGTTCAGCTGTCCTGCTTATTAGAGGAGGAATTGGGGGAAGACTTATTAACTACCTGCAGTATTCAGATGACCCAACCCTGTTTGTTGAAAGCAAAGAGGATTCGAAGCATTTACTGATGAAGATCAAAGTCTTCAATACGGATTACACCTCAACATAAATAAGACAAAAATCCGTACAACTGGACCAACAGAGAACTGCTTGAAATTATCAAAGATTACATTTTACTTGGATCTATAATCCAAACCCATGGAAGCAGCAGTCAAGAAAGAAACACAAGGAGATATTGCATTGGGAAAATCTGCAAAATATCTTTTTAAATAGCTGAGCCTAAAGGCTCAGGACCATCGTCTCAGGGGACACCATGGTCAACTGGCATAACATAGGCCACAAAGACATCCTACTTTGGTGAGTAACATTTGGGACATTAAAAGCTCTTGAACAGTCGTCTAAGGTACAGCTATTGGTCTCTCCATGTGCAGAAGAAAGGGAGTGATGAGAATTGAAGAGGCTTAGAATCAATTAGTCCAAGGGACTCATGGATCATGTGAACATCAGTCTCCACGTCTCTGAGACCAGAAGAACTAGATGGTGTCCAGCTACCACTGCCAACTGTTCCAAATGGGATCACATTATAAGGCCCTTGATAGAATGTCAGAATGTGTGGAACAAAACTCAGAATTATTAAGAAAAAAAAGAGGCTGGACTTACTGATCAAAAAGAGACTGAAGGAACTTGAGGTTGTGGCCCTCAACCACCCTTGTGGCCCAACTTTCAACCAAGCAGTAGGTAGGTATATAGGGGAACAACCACACTGTGATGGAATGGTCAATTATTCAGAATCAAAGGGGCAATAAGTACCTAAGGACAAAGGCAAGAGGGGTTGGGAAGGTGGGTGGAATGGAATTAGGAGCCACAGGGAGGAAGTGGGATGATTGTTGGTCCATTAAGGGCATTGCATTCATTGAGATGAAACCAAGTGTAGGATGTGTTGAAAATAAAACTGATGATCTTGTCCATAAACTTTCACTCAATTCGTAATAAAAAGTTTAAAAAATATATATCTTTAAAGTTAAAAAGTAAAAATCACTTTGAGGACTAAGCTAGACCTGACCCAAACTAGGGTTTTTTCAGTCACCTCAAATGTATGTAAAAGGAATAAGGAAGACCAAAAAATTGATGCGTTTGAATCATGGTGTCAGTGAAGAATAATGAAAGTACCATGGACCACCAGTAAAGTGAATAAATCTGTCTCGGAAGGAGTACCAGAATGTTCCTTAGAAGTGTGAATGGTCAGACTTTGTTTCATGTGCTTTGGGCATGTTGTTGGGAGGTACCAGATGCTAGAGAAGGACATCATGTTTGGGAGAGCAGAGGGTCAGCAAAAAAGAGGAAGACCCTCAGTGAGACGGACTGACACAGTGGCAGCTACAATGGACTCAAACATAGGAACGACTTGCAGGTTGGTGTAGGACTAAGTAGTATTTCATTCAGTTGGTACAATCAATGGTACATAGTACCATTATGACATTAACACTATAGACACAGAATCAGATTCAACTCAGTAAGTCCAGAAACAAGTGTTGTGACCTTTAGAACTTCAAAAAAAAATTAAAGCATGCTATTTCTCTCAGTGGAATATTGCATATTCATACCTGGTGGTCCTGGTGGTCCTGGTAAGCCTTCAAGTCCTTTGAAGCCTGGTAACCCTGGACTACCTAGGTTTCCTTTCTGGCCCGCATTTCCTGCAAACCCTAAAGTTAAGAACTATGTATTAAAAACACAGGTTAGATTTTCATCAGACTCATCCATATCCCAGTGGAAATTGATGGGTCTTTATTATAATAAAGCTTAGCATATTTTTAAGAGCATGGGTAGATGTGGATTTAGTGGCGCTGTGGGTTAATATGCTGGACCTCAAAGTTGCTTTGAATCATAAGATATGCAGTTCAAGCTCACCAGCCATTCCTCGGAAACCTTATACAGGGTTGCTATGGGTTGGAACTGACTCTAGAGCATTTAATAACAACAAATATGTATATTTCAAGAGGATTAAATGAGATACTGTGTGACTGGTATGATTTAGTCCTCAATAAATGCTAAACTGGAGTCCTGGTGTGGCGCTGTGGGTTAGTGCACTGGACTGCAAGGTCGGTTTGAATTGCAAGGTCAGCAGTTCAAGCTCACCAGCTACTCCTCGGAAACCCTGTACAGAGTCAGAACCGACTCGATGGCACTTAACAACAACAATAAAATGTTAAAGCAAACCCACTGCTATGGAAGACAGTAGAACTGCCCCCCCAGATATTTACAAAGGATGTTTTCAGTAAAAACAAAGGGCTACTCTATTGTACCACTTTGGGCTGGACAATCCCATTCTTAATTTGTTGTTGTTGTTGTTAAGTGCTGTTGAGTCAATTCCGACCCATAGCAACCCTGTATAGGGTTACCAAGGAGCAGCTGCTGAGCTTGAACCACCGACCTTGCAGTTCAAACGGCTCTGCAGTCTGGTGCGTTAACCCACAATGCCACACCAGGACTCCAGAACTCCATTTGTTGTGAAGTGCCATTGAGTCAATTCTGACCCATAGCGACCCTGTATAGTGTTTCCAAGTAGCAGCCGGTGAGCTTGAGCCACCGACTTTCCAGTTCAAATGGCTTTGCAGTCTGGCGCATTAGCCCACAGCGCCACACCAGGACTCTTAATGCATTTATTAAAACCATCACCTATTCAGGTGGGAGAAAGATGGGGCTTTCTGCTCCCATAAAGATTTACAGCATCAGGAAACCTATACAGGGTCACTATGAGTCGGAATGGAGTCCTGATGTGGCACTGTAAAGTCAATTTGAACCACAAGATTAGCAGTTCAAGCTCACCAGCCGCTCCTCAGAAACCCTATACAGGGTTGCTATAGGTCAGAATCGACTGGACAGCAATTTACCACATGAGTCAGAACCGACTCGACGGCACACAACCACCATTACCATTCAGTAATTACTCTGTTAGAGACATTGTTTTCTTTTATCTTCAATCTTTTCAGGTGACTAAGAAGTCAGTGGATTTACCTAATGCCATATTGCTAATCATTGAACTCGGTTCTGCATGGCTGGGAAACTCATAAACTTTTGACAACACCAGCTGTTATGGGCTGATCTGCATCCCCCAGAAATATGTGTTGTCCATCCTAACCCCTATGCCTCATCTGGACTCCTGGTGTGGTGCTGTAGGATCAGCACTGGGCTGTGAACCACAAGGCCAGTGGTTCAAACCCACCAGCTACTCCTCAGAAGTCTTATATAGGGTAGCTATGAGTCAGAACCAACTCAAAGGCACTTACCACCAACAAAGACATGGCTCATTTGGGAATGGGCTTTCTTTGTGATGCAAAGAGCCCATGTCAGCATAGGGCATCCGAGGGAGCCTCAAAACAGTTGCTGGACAAACGGAGCTAAAAGATAGTGGAATTTTTCCACGAACTTTTTGAAGTCTCCTAGTATTTTATTCCATAGATTTTAGATTAAAAAGAGCAGTTCAAGCATGCAGAAGCAGCTGGTAGCGTAGTAGTTACAAATCAGGCTGCGAACCGCAAGGTCAGCAGTTCGAAACTACCAGCTGTTCTGCGGGAGAAAGATGAGGCTTTCTGCTCCCGTAAAGATTTACAGCCTCAGAAACGCTGTACAGGGTCGCTGTGAGTCGGAACCGACTCCACGGCACATAACAACAACAACAAGTACTTTATGCCATAGATTTGCGATTTGAAAAAAGCAGTTCAAGCATGCAGAAGCAGCAGGGATGGTGGAAGGCAGATGCCACGCCTCAGGAAGATCACCAGGTCCAGAGGCTCAGAAGAGACAGGGACCTTCCTCCGAACCGATGAGAGAGACAGCCTTCCCTAGAGCTGGCAGTCTGAATTTGGAACTCTAGCTATTTAAAGGGAGAGAAAAGAAATGTCTGCTTGTTAGAGCCGTCCCTGTGCGCTATTTCGGTGCTAGCAGCATTAGCTCGCTCAGGCATCATCCTGCCTTCCTGAAAACATGGTTTCAGTCACATTACTCCCCAGCTCAATCACGTTAAATGACTCTCTATTGTTGGCATTAGCTGTTGCAGGTACACCTGTGATGAGATTGGGGACCAATCACTGCCACTTACCATCAAAATGCCATTAAGTAAACTACAGGACCTCTATTCCTCATCTGCAAAATGGAATGGTAGTAATAGCAGTATCTACTCATAGGGTTGTTCTGAGGATAAAATGAGTCAAAGTTTATAAAACTAAGGACACTCCCTTGCACATGGTAAGTGCCGTGTAAAGCCTTGTTAAATTATAGAACAATACAATTTCATACCTTGTATTACTCATTAATTAAATTATATGATGATACTTATTCATACCTTGTAGTTTTCATTAATTAAATTATATAACAATTTAACTCACACCTTGCATTACTCATTAATACAAGGTGTGAATTCATATTGCTATATAATACTAATTATTATACAGTACTGAATATTTTGTTGTTGTTAAGTGCCATCGAGCCAGTTCTGTCCTGTAGTGACCCTGTATAGGGTTCCCGAGGAGCAACTGGTGAGCTTGAACTGCCAACCTTGCAGTTCAAATTGACTTTGCAGTCTAGCACATTAACCCATAATGCCACACCGGGACTTCATAATACTGAATAGCAACAACAAAAAAAGAACATAGTATGTTGTTGTTGTTGTATGTCATTGAGTTAATCCTGACGCGTAATGACCCCACGTGACAGAACAGAACAGTCTTATAGGATTTTCTAGGAGATAGTGTAGTGGTTATGAATTGGGCTGCTAACCTCAGGGTCAGCAGTTCGAAACTACCAATGGTTCTGCGGGAGAAAGATGAGGCACTCTGCTCCTATGAAGATTTACAGCCTCAGAAACCCTGCACAGGGTCGCTATAAGTCGGAACCAACTCCACGGCACATAACAACAACAACAACAATTTTTACAGAAAGAGTTCCAGGTCATTTTCCCATGGAGCTACTGGGGAGATTTGAACTACCAATCTTTTGGTTAGCAGCTGAGTGTTTAACTGTTGCACCATGGCTTAATAAATGATGGTGTTGTTAAATGCCACCAAGTCGGTTCATAGAGGCCCTGTCTAAGGTTTCCGAGGAGCAGCTACTGAGTTTGAACTGCCGACCTTGTGGTCCAGTGCTTAGCAACATTATTCATTACACCTGGGTAGTGTAGCAGCTCTCCCCAGTGGTTCCAGGATAAAGACCTGCCAATTTGCTTCTGTAAAGATTACAGTCAAGAAAATCCCATAAGGCAGTTCTGTTCTGACACATGGGTCAGAATCAGCTCCATGGCACACAACAACAACAACAACAACAACAAGGTGTGTTTTTTTTTTTATTCAGTCTTTGCTTCTCAGTTTCACGTTTAAAAAGGAGAAAGCTGTTCTGCATATTGTACTTGGGATAAGTAAAAGAATTCTGTTAGAAGCATGGCAATAGTCTGTGTCCCTCTACATTTCACAGAAATCTTTATTTAATTGTGAATTTGTACCCGTTGTTCATTTCATGTGTGAAAGCCAGGGTTAGGCTGTGTAGACAGAGACAGGCGGGAGAAAGACCAGGCTGTCTTCTCCTGTCAGGATGCATAGTCCTGGAAACCCTAAGGAACACTTCCACTCTGTCCTATGGGGTCTCTATAAGTCATACTCAATTCAATGGCAGTGAATTTGAGTTTTGGTTTAGGCAGTTATGATAAGCATATTTCCCCCAAAATGTTTCCCACACTTTCTAAATGATCTTCCATAACCTGGAGATGTACCTATACAGTGGTCTGAGAGGATTGGAAATTTATGTTCGTTTATTTCTTCCTCTCATGGCTTAGAACAGTTGTAAGCAAAGTTTTACAAAATGCATAAGAGTTTCTTTTTTAATTGTTAAACAATGTAATGCAATCTTCAATTTGTGTCAGTGGTGGCTGTGTGCCGTGGAGTCGGTTCCGACCCATAGCGACCCTGTATAGGGTTTCCGAGGCTGTAAATCTTTATGGAAGCAGAAAACCTCATCTTTCTCCTATGGAATGACCAGTAGTTTCAAACTGCTGGCCGTGAGATTAGCAGCCAGACTCATAACCACTGAGCTAGAACTAAACTACCCTTTGACACCGAGTTAAATGGGATTGCTCCCAAGGTTTTACTTCCTTAACTTTCCTTTAAGGAAGACAATAGTCTCCATAAACTGATTTTACAACGATTATCTGTTTGTTTGTTTTTTACATTAGCAAATTTGTTGGGTTCCATCACTCTAAGAACCCTGGTCACACGCATGTCACTTCTCAGTGATGTTTTTCCAAACTCTTGGAGGGACACTTTCAGTCTTTCCCTGTGGTGATGTGAAGCATTACTTTGTCTCTCATACTGATAATATGACCGAATGAAATGGATAGACATAGTGGCAGCAATGATGGACTCAAACGTGACAATAATCCCGAGGCTGGCAGAGGACCAGACAGTGTTTCATTCTGTTGTACATAGGGTTTCTGTGAGTCAGAACCGACTTGATGGCACCTAACAGCAAGAACAACATAAATGGATATGTTCCAAACTGGTAAATATTTGTTGAATATAATCTTACGTCTCCACATTTATTATAAATATCTCAAAACTTGATATGGTTTTGCAACTGTAAATGCATTTCCCCATTATTCTTTTCCTGCTGCATGAAAGCTTAATCTGCAGAAATCAGCAACATTTTACCCAGTGAGTCTTTGTTTTTCTAAAATTACTTGAGATTAAATTTGGTCAAGGTGACAGCATGGAAGGCCATGTTTTTCTTTCAGTAAAATTGATCTTATATTGGTTTTCACTGATCATATCTCAGAAAGTGTTTTGAAAACGTATTTAAATAATTGGGAATAATTTGAATGGGTTTTACCTTCAGCCTAATAGCTAAGCTTCATAATTACCAGCATTTCTAAAGGGTTCATTCTTTAATTAAAAATACTTTGTTGTTAATAATTTGAACACAAAAAGAAATTTTTAGATGCAATCAGAAAAATTCACCCTGGTAGTTGAGAGTAAAGTGAAATTTGGGGTAGCTGTTTTGGAGTCCTGGTGTGGTGCTGTGGGCTAATGCGTCAGACTGCAAGGTCGGTGGTTCAAGCTCACCAGCTGCTCCTTGGAATCCCTATACGGGGTCGCTATGGGTCAGAATTGACTTGAAGGCACTGAACAGAACAGCATTTTGATTTTGGAGTCCTGGTATGGTACTGAGGGCTAATGCGTCAGACTACAAAGCCATTTGAACTGCAAGGTTGGTGGTTCAAGCTCACCAGCTTCTCCTTGGAAACCCTATACAGGGTTGCTATGGGTCGGAATTGACTCGAAGGCACTTAACAACAACATTTTGATTTCAGGGAGGGTGGTGACTCTGTAAGATAAGCACTTGACTTTGAGTCACAGGATTGGCAGTTCCAGCCCACCAGCTGGAACCGTGGGAGACAGATGAAGCTTTCTGTTTCCCGCCAAGATTTAGAGCCTTAGAAACCCGATACAGAGCCACAAAGAGTTGAAATTGACTTGATGCCACTTAACAACAGTTTCTATTTTGGCCAGGGAAATGTTTTAATGTGCAATTTCCTAAGAATTAAATTTTTCAATAACTGATAAAAAGGGGGATTTATAGACGTGTAGCGCTGTGGACTACCAGGTCAGTTTGAACCCACCAGCTGTTCCTCAGTAACCCCATACAGGGTCACTAGACGGCACTTAACAACAACAGGGGCTTATAGTTTACATATAACTAGTGCCAAGATATATGCAGAATTAACTTAGACAGTTCTGCATGAAGGAGTTAACACACTGTGGCAGGCACTGAAGACCAGCTGAATGCAGGCTTGGTCCCCGAATAGCTGTGTGACTTGACAGATCATTAACACTGAACCTCACTGTCCTATGCACCAACTAAAGGGACTACCCTGGAAACTGTCTTAAGGTCAGAATCAGCATGGATGCCCTGATTCTAAATACAAGAAATGTTTTACCTTTGAGGCCTGGTTCTCCTTTGTCCCCCAGTAAGTGGGGTGCTTTCGAAGACCCGGGAGCTCCTTTGTCTCCTCGTTCCCCTTTGACTCCTGGAGGTCCTTTTTCACCCTTTTCTCCAGGGATTCCAAGGCTGCCTAAAAGGGAGGGGAACAATGGTGCTTCTGTGTTAAGAAGTTCATAAACTATTTTCCCAAATGGGCAATACTATAAGGGTAGTCATATACTTATGAAGGAGGAGGACTGGGAAACAGGACTAGAGAAAAGAGCAAAATCAAACATTGTTCACTCAGCACTATTTTTCCCCAGAAGAATGAAATGAAATTTGTATTACTGTTAAAGAAATGAACCGTGTTTCTGCTTCCTAACAGTTGGAAAGTTAATCTGACACTCACCCCTCTGTCCTGGGTCTCCTGGGTTCCCAGGAAGCCCTGGAGAGCCAATAGTTCCAGGAAAGCCCATCATTCCAACCATTCCCATTTGTCCTATGGGAACAAACGAACATGAAGCAACATATGTTGTGCAGAACAAGAAAAGCAAGATGTTCCCCAAGTAAAACAGACGTAGAAATAGAGATTGGGCATTGAAGACATGATAACTTCAGTTAGGAAAGTAACCATATTTGTCTAAGAGATGGGTTAGGAAATTGTCTTTTTAATATCATCTATTTCGATGTCTTAGACTGGTGGCTCCCTGAAATAATCACTGAATTGCAAACCACAAGGTTAGTGGTTTGAGCCCATCAGCCACTTCCCAGGAGAAAGATGAGACTTCCTGCCCCAGCAAAGATTTATAGCCTCACAAACCCTATACAGGGTCACTATGAGTCAGAACCAACTAGGTGGCACTTAACATTTTGATGTCATTGGCAGCCAATCACACACATGGACATGGAATATAAGACTATGTTGGAGTCCTGAAATGGCGCTGCAGGATAATGTACTGGACCACAAGGTTGGCTTGAACTTCAAAGTCGGTGGTTCAAAACCACCATCTGCTCATTGGAAACAGGGTCGCTGTGAGTCAGAACTGACTCAATGGCACTTAACAACAACATGATAAAGTTTTACAACATCCCCTACTCCCAATTCCTGACCAGAAGTTACCAATTACATATTCATATTTTATTTTCTCACAGCATTTATCCAGAATTGATCTTTGTACTTATCCATTTATTCATTACTATCTTTCTCACTATGGAAGGTGGACTCTTGTCCACTCAGGTGTCACAGTGACTAGAACAATGCTGGCACACGATGTTGTTGTTAAGTTCTGTCAAGTCGATTCCGGCCCATTGTTGTTGTTGTTGTCAGGTGCCATTGAGTCGGAACCAACTCATAGCGACCCCATGCACAGTAAAACCAAACAGTGTCTGATCCTGGGCCAACCTCACTACCGCTGCCACACTTGATGCCATCAATGATGCCACCTGGCCGATCCATCTCGTTGGGGGTCTTCTTTTTCTCTGACCCTCCATCTTACCCAGCATGACATCCCTCTCCAGCAACTGTTCCCTCCTGACAATATGGTCAAAGTATGAGAGACGAAGCTTAGCCATCCTGGCCTCCAAGGAACACTCTGGCTGTACCTCTTCTCTACTGGTTCTTTTGGCAGTCCATGGCACTTTCAGTATTCTACTCCAACACCACAACTCAAAGGCATCAGTTCTTCTACGATCTTCCTTATTCACTGTCCAGCTTTCGCATCCATATGAGGCTACTGAAAATACCATGGCTTGGGTCAGGCGTACCTTAGTCATCAAGCTGACATCTCTGCTCTTCAATACTTTAAAAAGTTCCTGTGCAGCAGATTTGTCCAATGCAATACGTCAT